CTCATTCATTCCGCCTCTAGGGCGAGCCTGTCTATTTCTGGAATCGAGGGTCGACTCATGCTCAGAAATTGCCAACTCCCCACGGTCCCGCGCCATAAGCGATTCGACCTGGTACAAAACCACGGACAAGAACGCATTCCAGTCCCAGGGGGGGTCGTTGACAGCTCATACCATTGCACGATAGCCTCGAGCCTCGGAAGCTCTTTGATTTGTTCATAGAAGTGAGCATGGATTGAGGCCTTCATTTCATCCGATGGTTCCCTGGCACCATACAGTTCTTGATGGCGCTCCATCCATTCATTGTAAAATTAACACGAATCCGGATTGGGCTTTTGTCGGTCAATGTTTATCCGAAACAGGTCGCGGCATATCCAGTGTCGCCCAGTCTCCGACCTGACAGAACACCAGACACATATGGCACGGATCATTTCACGGCCCATGAGAAGACGTTCCTCGATCTGACATGAATGCTCCACGCGGTTGATTTGCGAACGAAAACGAGCACGCTGCACCGAAAGATTGCGACTCCGCTTCACCATGGCAAACTTAGCAAGTAAATTCGCTGCGATCATCATGTCAAGACGCACCAAGGCCCTGGAGGTCTGAGGATTCTCCACGGGTGCCTCTGGATTCATGGCATCCATGATCCATCCTCGCGCCGCCACAACGCCGTGCCAAGATCCAGCCACTGCTCTTATGCAATGTTGTTTCTATTCGCGCAGCGTTTGAACACTCGGGATGCCCATTAGATTAAGCTCTCCATCGTTACCCAAAGTTCCTCCAATTCGGACCCATGCGGCATGCGGTTGGAAATGAATGGTTCCAAAGCTGGGGCCGTTCGGCCCCCCACCGCCGTCTCCGTCAGGATCGCCTCCGCCACTGGTCCCCCTGGGGGATCCTTAGGCGGCTTCGGCTCGCCCGCCTCATCAAATTGGACGGCTACAACCATGCCAGCACTGGGCGCCGTGCTCTGATCACCCCACTGATCGCCATTGTTTCCCCCCTGCCCCCCCCCCCCCCCCCCCCATTACCAGTCACGGCTGAGCCGATGGCAAAGGGAAGGCGACCAGGCAAGTCACAATTGTCGGGGGGGGGCCTGGGAACTCAATGTTCAACGCAACGTTCCGAGGACTCGCACCTCGAACATACTCCTGAATCGAACCTTCGTTCGTACCAATGGATGTCTCAACAGCTGGACCTGGAATGAATCGCGATTTCGCGAAAGGAAGGGCGGGTGCATGTGGAGCTGTCAACAGAGGCATTTGATCAAAATCCGATCTCGTCGGCTCGAATAACGGCATACCCATGATGTCGGCGAGATTGCTGACCCGACGTTCCGATCCGACGTCTTCTGGCGCGCCCGAGTGTCTCGGCGCCGCCCCATCAACACTTCTTTTCGTCACGACGAGTGCATGCGGACATGCCCAGTTGTTCTCTGCCTCTCACGAGACCGTCCTGTTCCCTGAACTCCTTGTTCCAGGCGCACTGCGCACTCTGCGCACCTCTTGGCGGTTCTGTCCAGGCAACCCCCGCGCGCGGGTTTTGTACGCCCACGCAAATCCCGACGAAAGATTCAGGACGTACATGACACGGCTCATCTGGCATACCTATTCGCGTTTGAGTCTGCTTGATCACATTCATGCGAACAGGGCGAGCAACGGTCAAGCATGGAGGCGGTTCAACATGCGTCGGCCGTGCCGGCGTTGGATCAGACCTCTCATACGAGCCTACGCCTGCCGGCGAAGACGCAGGCGTAGTCTCAGCCATTGGCAAAGCTGCCGTCCGAGATTGCCCAGTTGCCCGAATCTTTGCCCGGTTGCCCGAATAATCCCCTGGCCATCCGATTTTGCCCCAGGTCAAATCTTAGCCTTCTGATTTCTTCGCTCACAGCACGAATGGCAAGGGCATTGTTTCTCATCTGCTCATCTGCGTGCCACTTCGCATGGCCCCAGGCATCGGCCATTCTCATGTGATCATCACTTCTGAGCGCCTGCGCCTTCTGCCCATGCTCCTGGAGGGCCCGCAGAGCTCCTAGTTTTACCTTATTCGGCTTCGAGTCTGGCCGCATCGAAATGATTACGGAGCTCCTGGTTTTCTCGTGCTGCCTGTCCTCGAGCCTCTCTCTCTCCTTCTCCTCTGGCGGCATCAACCATCTCTCTGTGTTCGACTCGTTCTCTGTCGGCCTTCTGCTGAGAGACTGACAACATTTGTTCGGCCATAGTCTAAATTGTCCGTTTTTTTTCCTCTCGGGCAAGACGCCGCTGAGCCACGTCTGTAACCCCTGCTCCATTCGCCTCTGCTTGCAGTATCCGTTTCTGCGCATCTTCCACAATGACAAGTTTCTCTTGTTCAGCCTTTTGTGCCATTGCCCTCTTCTCTGCCTCGGATTATGCGAGCATGCGTTTGGCTTCTTCAACAGCCTTCTCGATCCCGTCGCTGATTCTCGTCCCACTCCTGAACGGCGATGCAACGGCAATCATGTTCCTCCAACGCAATACATTCTTCACAAGGCCACGCAAGCCTGCATGTAGGGCACACGTTCGAACACTGTGCGCACACAGGTCGACGACACGAGCCCCCCGGTTTGCGTGTTTTCCCCGGGCATCGGTCCTCCGCCTGAAGCGAGCACCTCGGTCTGGTGTCCCAGCAGCTTTCCCGCATCGAGAAACTACAGGTGGTCCTGTTCGACGATGGGCGAAGTGACCCAAGGGCATCAGATCCTCTAGAACTGGAACGTCCGGCTCTAGGAGCCTTCACACGTCCCCTGCTGGAGGCAGGTGTATGCTGATCCCTTGGTCTTACACCCCTGTTACCAAAAGCGACACTCTGACTATGGGTTTGCTCGTCGCTTTCGTCCTGCATCACAAATTCATCAAGCTCTGGCACCCTGTCTCGATTTGCCCTCGGCAATGTGAAGTCTGGTCGACAGAAACCTTGCGGCAAGGGCGAAAGATTAAGATCGTCATCATCGTTCTTGGGCCTCATCTTGTCTGCGGGAGCAGGGTGGTGCCCGTAGGCTCTCTTGCATGCCTCATTGTGCGTGAGATACCTGGCGAGCTCACAATCGGTTGAGCCGACGAATTTTCCCTTCCAATATCTGTTCTGTCTCGATTGGGGCTTCGTTCATCCCCGAATCGTCCAGAACCGTTTCATTATCAGACAGGTCCACGCCTGAGGCGAATCCGTCAGACCCGTCTAGAAGGGGTCAAGATGGTGTGATTGATAGGCCGGGCGACGTATGAATTGAGCATATTCGTCATTATTCTCAATTGTGTGCGTGAACTATCATTATCTGATTGCCCGTCGCTCGCGTCCTCACCCTGTCCATGTATCACAACAAGTGTTACTTGCTCCGTGCTACGATTGTCTTCGTCTGGCATATATATATATATATATATATATATATATATGGGAACATGTCCTAACAAATTTCCCATGTCGTGGTCCAAGCCAACCAATGTTTGAGGGCTCGGATGCACTGATACAATTTATGACGGCCTTCCGATGGAAGTTTTGGCTGAGCCATACCTTCCGCCAGGAGCTTGTGCTCTGATCCTTGTCTGCGCATCAACGGGGGAGTCCCCTTCTGTCAAATCGAACACAAATTCCAACGCTTGCATTCTGGGAAGATTGCGAGGATGGGGACGCCTCGCAGAAGCGCCTGTTTCGTCAATGCGCTCGGAACGGCGTTGACGCTCTAATCCTCTGGGCACCCCTTCCTGCGATCCCATGCTCAGCGAAGCCAACGGCTGAGCCGTCGTTCGGCTGATAACCAGCTTTTTCCCTGGATAATCACAATCCCTGCTATGTGTTCCACTGATGTCTCATGCTCAGGGGGCTCCGCTGAAGCCATGACGAGGAAGGAGTGCACCGTAACCCTGAGAGAAGGAGGCCGGCCCGCCGGCCGACGCGCGCGCGCGCGGCCGCACGCTCGCTCCTGTTCTGTTTCCCTAGAGCCAAACAGCTGCAAAGTAACAGATCAGTCAAGCAGTGCAAGAGGAAGAGAACAAGAGGGGCAGCGGGATGGTGGTGCGGAAGGAGTGCATTGACTGGAAGACGACGACGACGACGACGACGACGACGACAAGGAAGAAGATAAGGATCAGGAGAAAAGGGGGAGGAGGCTTCGCCCGCGACGACTGACGCTGCGACCGAGTCGCACAATCCCAGCCTCCCTGGTTCGCTGGGCATTCGAAAAAATCAAAACAGGCACGTCTACAGTCATGCTGAGCTCGCCTCGTGCTTGTGCAGCTCCTTGCAGCCTGCAGCTGCCGAAAGGCAGGAGGAGGAGGAGGAGGAGGAGGAGCCGCAGTAGCTGGAGGAGTAGCTGGCGGGGCAAAAGGAGCAGGAGGAGGCAGAAAGAGAGGGGGAGCAGCATGAGAACGAGAGGGAAAATGAGGAGGAGGAGGAGGAGGAGGGCGGCAGGGGCGGAGGGAAAAGTGCGAAGGGAGAAGGGCGAAGGGATAAGGGAGGAGGAAGGGGGGGAGGGAGAGAACCAGGGAAGAGGAAAGAGGGAGGGAGGGAGGGAGGGAGGGAGGGAATGAGGGAAGGAGGGAAGGAATGAGGAGGGAGGGGGGGAGGGAGAAAACGAGGGAAGAGGGAGGAGACAGAAGGAAAGAGGGAAGAGAAAGAGAAAGAAGAAGCGTGAGGGAAGGAGGCACCCGTGCGAGCGGAATAACCGACTCGGGTGAGCCGCCACAACGGCGCTTCGAAGTGCACCCACAGCCGAAGGCGAAGCCAAAGCCGACGTGCACAGAAAAAAGGGAAGGGCCTGCCCTGCAGGCTTTCTGATAAAGCGGCGCCAAAGCCTCTCCAGAGCATCAGCCAGACAAGTCGAGATCGCACCCTCATGCCTTGCCGGCGCTGGGCGAGGAGAAAGCGGCAGTGGTGATACATCGGCCTCGAACGGCCAACCGCTTGTGCTACAGCACCTCCGCTTCGAAAATGCACGGGTGGGATATCTCCACTTCAGACGGCTTCGAACGGCGGTGTGCAAACGTCTACCGAAGAGGCGAGTCCGTGTAGCTGGCCCAGTCGCCCCAGGCACTGCCGGTCAGGCCGTCTTGATAGAACATGCCGATGATCGCCATCATCGCCAGCCTTCCGTTGGCGATCTCCGCGTTCAGCTTCTTCGTCTTCGCCTCGCCCTGGAAGCCAGAGAGCAGAGGCGGCTTCCAGCCCACGTCGCCCGGCGTCTTCTCGCCGAACGCCACGTACTTTCCCTTCTCTGTCGCGGAGCCGTTCACGCTCGCAGACCGCTCGCAGAACCAGCAGTAGGCAATCATCTGCAACCAACCCTCTTGGGGCACCTTGGACAGGGCGGCCAGGCCGTTCGGGACGTCTTCGAAGGCGATGCCTGTTCTCACGGGGATGGGTTAAACACAGACGCCGCCAGTGGCTCCCTCCCTCTCCCCCGCCTCCACACCCGCCTCTTCCCCCCCTTCTCCTGGGAAGAGGGAAGCGGATTACAGGAGGTCCTGGTCGAGTACATTTGGGACCCAGACGGACCCTTAGACGGACTGAGCATCCCGGGGAACTTGCCGGCGACCTCGGGCGTGATGTAGCCCATCGTGGCCAGCATGCTGATGCGGCCATGCTTGATCTCAGTAGAGCGGCGCCTCCTGAACTTCTCGGCATCGCCGTCCTTCGTGAAGCCGATGGGGTCCCAGAAGCCCAAGGGTGCCTGCACGCCCAGCTCGCTCTCGAAGGCGCGCAGCGGCGAGTCCGTGTAGCTGGCCCAGTCGCCCCAGGCACTGCCGGTCAGGCCGTCTTGATAGAACATGCCGATGATCGCCATCATCGCCAGCCTTCCGTTGGCGATCTCCGCGTTCAGCTTCTTCGTCTTCGCCTCGCCCTGGAAGCCAGAGAGCAGAGGCGGCTTCCAGCCCACGTCGCCAGGCGTCTTCTCGCCGAACGCCACGTACTTTCCCTTCTCTGTCGCGGAGCCGTTCACGCTCGCAGACCGCTCGCAGAACCAGCAGTAAGCAATCATCTGCAACCAACCCTCCTGAGGCACCTTGGACAGTGCGGCCAGGCCGTTCGGGACGTCTTCGAAGGCGATGCCTGTGCTCACGGTGTTAAATCCAAATCAGACGCCACCAGTGGCTCCCTCCCTCCATCCGCCCGCCTCCACCGCTGGCTCTTCCCCCCCCCCTCTCCTGGGAGGGTCTGGGAAGCGCGTTACAGGAGGTCATGGCGATGCATCGGCCACCGTGCCCCCTAGCACGTTGAGGGGTGGTGGGATGACAAGTGCTGTCTGGCAGAGATTATGCGAGTGTTCTCTGGGATCCCCGCCCCCTCTTATCATACACTTTTTTACCGTCCATCGAAGCCCAGTGGCATTCCCCCTCTCTGCAACAGATCCCTCTTGGTACGACCTTCCCTCCTCCTCCTCCTCCTCCTCCTTCACCTCCTCCTCCTCCTCCTCCTCCTCCTCCTCCTCCTCCTCCTCCTCCTCCTTATCATCATCCCTCACCTCCTCCTCCTCCTCCTCCTCCTCCTCCTCCTCCTCCTCCTCCTCCTTATCATCCATGCTCATCATCATCAACAACAGCATCATAATCGGCATCACCATCAGCATCATCACATCATCAGCTTCATCAGCGTCATGGTCATCATCATCATCATCATCATCATCATCAGCAGCAGCAGCAGCATCATCAGCAGCATCATCATTGTCATCATCATAAGCAGCATCATCATCAGCATCATCATCAGTATCATCATCAGTATCATCATTATCATCCTTATCCTCATCATGGTCATCATCATCACCGTCAGCATCGTCGTCAGAATCATCATCATCATCATAATCATCGGCATCATCATCCTTATCATCAGTACCATCATCCGTACCATAATCATCATCGTCATCATCATCATCATCACCATCATCATTACGGTCATCATCATCATCATCCTCATCATCCTGATTGTCGACATTACCACCAAAACCAGAACCATTAATATCATCATCACCATCAACATCATCATCTTCATCATCATCAGCAGCAGCACTATCACCATCATCACCAGAATCATGACCAGCATCATCAGCAGCATCCTCGTCGTATTCTTCGGTATCTGAATCGCCATCATCGCCATCATCGCCATCATCATCAGCAGCATCAGCAGCATCAGCATCTTCATCAGGATCATCGCCAGCATCATCATCAGCAGCATCAGCATCATCATTCTCATCGGCATCATCATCAGCAGCATCATCATTACCATCACAATCATCATCAGCACCACCACCACCATAATACTCCGCCTCAACGCGGCCTCGCTGCAATCCAAAGCCTCGGGACGGCCGAGGTGTCACATGTGACGGCCATCTGGGCGTTGCTCCAACAGCCGACACATAAGAGATGGGGCAGGAGGAAGGAGGAGAAATGAAAGAAGGTGGGGCAGGAGTAACGCGGAGGAGAAGGGAGCAGTAGGACTCCACGAGGCCGACGCCAAGGACGAGGAGAGACACACCGACACGACGCGAAGAGCGGAAGAGCGTGTCACGTGTTACGGCTCACCCAAGCCTCGGGACACGAGGTGTCACACGTTACGGCTTCCTATGCGCCCCACCCAGAGTGATAAGCTGGATACCTTTGGAACCCAGACGGACCCTTAGACGGACTGAGCATCCCGGGGAACTTGCCGGCGACCTCGGGCGTGATGTAGCCCATCGTGGCCAGCATGCTGATGCGGCCATGCTTGATCTCAGTAGAGCGGCGCCTCCTGAACTTCTCGGCATCGCCGTCCTTCGTGAAGCCGATGGGGTCCCAGAAGCCCAAGGGTGCCTGCACGCCCAGCTCGCTCTCGAAGGCGCGCAGCGGCGAGTCCGTGTAGCTGGCCCAGTCGCCCCAGGCACTGCCGGTCAGGCCGTCTTGATAGAACATGCCGATGATCGCCATCATCGCCAGCCTTCCGTTGGCGATCTCCGCGTTCAGCTTCTTCGTCTTCGCCTCGCCCTGGAAGCCAGAGAGCAGAGGCGGCTTCCAGCCCACGTCGCCAGGCGTCTTCTCGCCGAACGCCACGTACTTTCCCTTCTCTGTCGCAGAGCCGTTCACGCTCGCAGACCGCTCGCAGAACCAGCAGTAGGCAATCATTTGCAACCAACCCTCTTGAGGCACCTTGGACAAGGCGGCCAGGCCGTTCGGGACGTCTTCGAAGGCGATGCCTGTGCTCACGGTGTTAAATCCAAATCAGACGCCACCAGTGGCCCCCTCCCTCCATCCCCTCGCCTCCACCGCTGCCTCTTCCCCCCCCTCTCCTGGGAGGGTCCGGGAAGCGGGTTACAGGAGGTCATGGCGATGCATCGGCCACCGTGTCCCCTAGCACGTTGAGGCGTGGTAGGATGACAAGTGCTGTCTGCAGAGATTGTGCGAGTGTTCTCTGGGATCCCCGCCCCCTCTCATCATACACTTCAACAGATCCCTCTTGGTACGGTATTCCCTCCTCCTCCTCCTCCTCCTCCTACTCCTCCTCCTCCTCCTCCTCCTTCACCTCCTCCTCCTCCTCATCATCATCACCACCACCACCATCATCATCATCATCATCATCATCATCATCATCATCACCACCACCACAATTACCACCACCATCATCATCATCATCATCAGCAGCAGCAGCAGCATCGTCATCGTCGTCGTCAACACCATCAACGTACATCATCCATCACTCATCACCCACCACCCATGATCATCATTAACAACAGCATCATCAGCATCATCAGCATCATCAGCAGCATCAGCATCATCAGCGTCATGGTCATAATCATCGACATCAGCATCATCATCAGCAGCAGCAGCCTCATCATTGTCATCAGCATCAACAGCATCACCATCAGCATCATCATCGATATCAGCATCAGCATCACCGTCATCATCACCATCACCATCATCATCATCATCATCATCATCATCATCATCATCATCATCATCATCATCAGCATCATCATCGTCGTCAACAGCATCATCATCATCAGCATCAGCATCATCACCGCCATCCTCATCCTCATCCTCATCCTCATCCTCATCATTCATCATGGTCATCATCATCAGCATCGCCATCAGCATCAGAATCATCAGCATCGGCATCACCATCCTTATCAACAGTACCACCATCATCATCATCATCATCAGCATCAGCGTCATAATCGTCATCAACAACATCATCATCATCAGCATCATCATCATCATCATCATCACCATCATCATCATCATCAGTACGGTCATTATCATCCTCATCATCATCCTGATTATTGACAGCACCACCACAACCAGCACCATCGATATCATCATCAACATCAACATAATCATATTCATCATCAGCAGCAGCAACAGCATCACCATCATGACCTTCATCATCAGTAGCAGCAGCCTCGTCGTATTCTTTATTATTTCAATCGCCATCATCGCCATGGACATCATCAGCAGCATCAGCAGCATCAGCATCTTCATCATGATCATCGTCAGCATCATCATCAGCAGCATAAGTATCATCATCATCAGCATAGCATCATCAGCAGCAGCATCATCACTACCACCATCACCATCACCATCATCATCAGCACCACCACCACCATCATACTCCGCAATCGGCCGAGGTGCAATCCAAGAAAGCCTCAGGACGGCCGAGGTGTT